CCTGAGCTGCCTTTGGGAGGGCGCGGGACACCCCTAAACCTAAACCCTAAACCCCTAATCCTTAAACCCAGGCTTAGGCCAACAGGGCAATGTATTCGGTTTCGGGTTTAGGGTTTAGGGTTTGGGGATGTGTAGGGTTTGGGGTGTAGGGTCTAGGGTATACAACTAAATATACCCCAACTGCCCTTTGAAACCCTCAAACCCTCACGTCCGCAAACCATCGCAAACCCTCAAGCCCTACGCGCTAAGACCCCGAGACCCCTCCCTGATCCCCAGCTTTCTTTGCAAATCACCGCAGATCGCAACAGCCGAAGTCAACGGAGCCTTTATCTCTACACCCGTATAACCTGGAGCTGCAAACGTCTCTTGCGCACGAACCTGCTTTCAGGGGGTGTAGCGTCTCGAGGCTTAGGGGTTTGGAGTTTAAGGGCTAAACCCTAAACCCTAAACTTTAGGGTGTAGGGCTTGGAGCGCCGCAACAAGGGTCTCTCATCCCAAACCACTGATCCGTTTTGGAATATGACCTTGGGCTCCGCTAAGGCAGTGCCTTGGCACAACACAACCCTAAACTCGGGATGTTCCCCTGTATACGAACAGCTCCTTAGTAGCGATTCTAGTACCCTCCCAAAGAATCCCTACTAAGGAATTGTTAGTATAAGGGGTAACAGCCCAACCCTAAACCCCTGAACCCAAAGCCCTCAACCCTAAGAGAATGTAGGGGGCGACAATGACGAGTATTCTAAGGGAGCCCTTGAGGTGTAACCCTAAACCCTGAACCCTACACCCTAAACCCAAAACCCTAAACCCTAAACCCTAAACCGTAGGGGCAAAGGGTTCGATCACTCGAAAACCAAGCCCAGCTGTTTCGAGCCACCCAATGACGTCGCAGCTCGCAAGCGACTAGCGCCTTCTACCCAGACCCCTGGGAAGGGTTTAGGGTTTGGGGTTTAGGGTTTAGGGTTAGGGTTTAGGGTTTAGGGTTTAGGGTTCAGGGTTTAGGGTTTAGGGTTTAGGGTTTAGGGTTTAGGGTTTAGTTTTCAGGGTTTAGGGTTTAGGGTTTAGGGTCCAAAAAGTAGATGTCTTTTAGGGTTCCCAAGAATGGCCCAACAGTAGTACAGGGTACTCTTTGGGGGTTCTACTTGTTGGATCCTCCCAGAAATTCTGGATACCCTAAATCCTAAGATTCGATACGCCCAAAAACCCTAAACCCTAAACCCCACACCACCTTAGGGTTTAGGGTTTGGGGTTTAGGGTTTAGGGTTTAGGGTTTAGGGTTTAGGTGGCAAACCCGCAAAAAACAGCCCCCTCAGGTCGACCGCCGTAGCAGCGCTGGCCGCGAAAAACATCGGCCTCCCGCCCGGCAATGGTGAACAATCTGGATGTTGAATTGTAAGTTCTAAAGCCCTCAACCCTAAACCCCGAAGCCCTGAACCCTGAACCTTAAACTGCCACACAGACCCTGAACAGAGGGACGGCCTCCAATCAAGAGCAACTGAACGGACTGCCGGAGCTTGGGGTTTGCCTCGGTGCCTTCAGTCGGTCAGCCATATACCCTGTTCAGTCTAGAGGCGAGGGTTTAGGGTTTAGGGTTTAGGGTTTAGGGTTTAGGGTTTAGGGTTTAGGGTTTAGGGTTTAGGGTTTAGGGTTTAGGGTTTAGGGTTTAGGGTTTAGGGTTTAGGGTTTAAGGCTGTCATGGATGCAGCCCAGGAAGCGGAATGAACTTTGTGGTCGTTGCCCAGGCGTGACCTGTCGGCAGGACCGCACTTGAGCTCATGCTGCATCTTGAGTAGAGTCTAGGGATACCCTTCACCGTAAACCCTAAACCCTGAACCCTAAACCTCTCTATCAGATGATAACTTAAAACTTAATGAATTCGTGGTTCATGGCCGAAAACTCGTTGTTCATGGCCGAAAACTCGTGGTTCATGGCTGCAAACTCGTGGTTCATGGCCGAAACCTCGTGGTTCATGGCCGCAAACTCGTGGTTCATTGCCGAAAACTCGTGGTTCATGGCCGAAAACTCCCGAAACTCGTGGTTCATGGCCGAAAGTGATTCGAAAAGTTGGCCATGAGTCTCGAAGAGCTGGCCATGAACCACCAAGAGCTGGCCATGAACCACGAACGGGTTTCAGGACCTCAAGGCCTGCGGTTTGGGATTTGAGGGCCTCAAAGGCTCGCGTTTAGGTTATCAGGGCCTCAAGGCCTGTGGGTTTGGGTTTCAAGGCCTCAAGGCCTTGCGTTTGGCCTCAAGGCCTGGGATTTAGGGTTTCAGGCCCTCAAGGCCAGGCGTTTAAGTTTAGTGTTTCAGGGCCTCAAGCCCTGGGGTTTAGGGTTTCGGGTTCTTAAGGGAAGGGCATGTAACCGAAGGTTCCCTGATACTCCCTACTCCCTAAGCTTCCCTAAGGTTCCCTAGGTACCTACCCCCCATGAACCCCCCTAACCCTAAACCCTAAACCATTAACCCTCCCTTGAGAACCCCATAGCACAAGGAATCATCATAAGGGTAAGTTCCCTTGGTTCCCTTGTGAGTAGCTCTATTCCCACATGGTTCCATCCCCCCCCACCCCACCACTAAGCCCTTATAAGGACCTCTAGAACAAAAACCGGTTTAGGGTTTAGGGTTTAGGGTTTAGGGTTTAGGGTTTAGGGCTTAGGGCTTAGGGCTTAGGGTGCTTGATGCACCGAGGCTTTGCATGAAGCCGCTGATCATGGCAGCATCCCTCGCGGTGGACAGTGCGCTGGGAGTAGTTTCTGGGCCACAGCGAAATGAGGGTTTAGGGTTTAGGGTTTAGGGCTTAGGGCTTAGGGCTTAGGGTTTAGGGCTTCGGGTTAAGAGACCCCAAATGGTTAGGATTCCCTTATAACAGGGACCTCCCATAAGGTACCCCTAATTGCGGAAACTCCCAAATGAGGGAAATCGGATCTCAGCCTGGAGCGTTGCGGCGGAACCCGAATTCCTGAACTCGTAAACTCCATAAGGATTAGGGTTTAGGCTGCTTGAACCCCTGAGACTACCAGCCCTGAACCCTCAACCCCTGAAGCTCTAAAAGCCTTGCAACCTAAACCCTAAAGCCCCCTCCAAAAAAATGAAGACAGATAAAAATGATCATAGCCCTAAACCCTAAGCCCTAAACCCTAAGCCCTAAACCCTAAACCCTAGACCCTAAAGCCCAACAAAAAAATCAGAACCCCAAGCTCCAAACTAAACTGAGACTTCTGCCTCGCATGTTATAAAGACGATGATCATTGCCCGGCGGGGGAGGTGTTTGGGTTTCGGGTTTCGGGTTTCGGGTTTCGGGTTTAGGGTTTAGGGTTTAGGGTTTAGGGTTTAAGGTTTAGGGTTTAGGGTTTAGGGTTTAGGGCATACAGAGCTTACCGCCGATGATCCTGTGTCAGGGGCTATCCGGCACAAGGACTGCACGCTCGTTTTAGACCACCATGAGAATTCAGAGTCTGAGCCCTGGAAGGCCCCTCAGCCCGCGAAACCCCCAAGCCCCTAAACCCTAAACCCTAAACTCTAGACCCTAAACCCTAAACCATAAACCCCAAACACTAAAGCCTAAACCTAAACCCTAAGCCCAAAGCCCTAAACCCTCAACCCTAAACCCTAAAAAGTGTGTACGGTTAAAGCGCCGCTGGCACCCTGAACCTGAACCCTACCAAAGGTCTACTTTCCGCTTGCTGCGAGCCTCACTCCGAGCAATGCTCCTTGGGAGCAAGCCGTGCGCAGGGCTGACAGGGGGGGGGCACCTGAAGCCGGAAATCCTAAAGGTTTAGGGTTTAGGGTTTAGGTTTTAGGGTTTAGGGCTTAGGGTTTCAGGGTACCACCCCCCCCCCCCCCCCCCCCCCCCCCCACAAAGAAATAGAAAAACTCAAGCCCAAACTCTTGAGATCTCAAGGGCTTCGCATGTGGGGTCACATGTTCAGACCCCCCTCCGGAGGGAGGATTTTTGGAATGAGGCAGGACTTGGGTTTTAGGGTTCTTTGTCTTTAGGGGGGATTGAAGATCGGGGTTTGGGGAGCTGAAGCGTTGGGTCTGAAGGCCTCTCTCATAGCATTTTCCTCCTATCTTTTTGAGTTTAGGGTTCAGGGTCGAGGGTGGAGGGTTCGGGGTTTACGGTACCCCAAAATTGGGCCGTCGGTTACATAACGCCTCATCTTCTGTCGCTACCGAAGGAAGACCTCGAAGAGTTTGGTGTTTTCAGCGGCGATGACACATCGACGAGGCACCCTGGCTGTATACCTAGACCCGAAACCCTAAACCCTAAACCCTAAACGGTGCCCTTTTTCCGTTTTCGGCGGCTCGCTCCCGTATGCCAAAGCCCCACTCGTTCCTTCTTTTGTGGGTTGGGCTGCTCTTATTCAGCCCCATAAAGACAAGCTCATCAGCCCCATAAACCCTATAAAACCCTTCAAAGCCCAATAAACCATACCCCACAAAAGACGATGAACCCTATAAAGTCCTGTAAACCCAACAAACCCTCAAGCCAAGCTCTTCGCCCTGGGATAAACCTCACCACCTGCCGATAGAGCTCAGCTAGACCCTAAACCCTTAGAGTCCCAAACCCTATGAGTTTAGGGTTCAGGGTTTCGGCAAGGCCTACAACCCTAAACCCTGAGTCCTGAGCTCCGCTTGTGCAGGATTCGACTTATGGACGCTCCGTTGCCATGTTCGCGGTGTTCGCGCAGTTCGCGCTGTTCGCTCTGTTCGCGCTGTTCGCTCTGTTGGTGGTGTTCGCGCTGTTCACGTTGTTCGCACCGTGCGCGCTGCTCGCGCTGCTCGCGGTGTTCGCCGGGCGCTATGGTGTCCACGAGTGCAGGATTCAGGGCAAGGGCTAGTTGCACGGTCCCTTAGTATGGGCCCTTGCATGGGGAGCCCTTAGATACCCCTTGTCTACCCCCCAAAAAAACCCACAAGGCCCCTTGAACTTTAAGGAGGGGAAGGGGCCATACTAGGGGATCATATAAATGCCCTGAGATATACCCCAAACCCTGAATCCTAGATTCTTCGATAGTGTTTGTCTGGGACCTTAGTTGCACCCTTGCCTCCCTATGCCCGACACCCTTCAATCCCCAAACCCTAAACCCCCAAACCCTAAACCCCAAACCCTAAACCCGCAAACCCTAAACCCCTAAACCCTAAACCCTAAACCCTAAACCCTAAACCCTAAACCCCAAAACATCCTAAACACGAAGCCCCAAACCCCAAACACCCTCACGCCCTCGATGCCCTCCCGGTAGCCGCAGAACATCTGAGGACGCACTCGCTGGCAGACTACGCAGCCACGCCTTCCGGGCAGCACTTTGGGTTTAGGGTTTAGGGCTTAGGGTTTTAGGGTTTAGGGTTTCGGGTTTAGGGTTTAGGGTTTAGGGTGTAGGGTGTAGGGTGTAGGGTGTAGGGTGTTAGGGCTTAGGGTTTAGGGTTTAGGTTTAGGGTTTAGGGTTTGGGGACTTTTGTTTTGGGGCTTTGCAGGACCAGGACTGGTTTAGCGTGTATAGGGGTGTAGAGCGCCCCTCTGGGCGTGAGCTGCCTAAATCCTACACCAGATGCCCTCAAGTAGGGTTTAGGGTTTGGGGTTTGGGGTTTAGGGTTTAGGGTTTAGGGTTGTACAGAAAAAGAACTTTGAAAAACCGTATGTCTAGGGTCCCAGTTAGGCCCTTATTCCCTTTTTGTTAGGGTTTAGCTTCCCTTATGAAGGCACCCTTCTTGTTTTTCCAAGGCTGCTCTTGGGTCGAGTATTTGCGAAGGCGCCTTTCTTGATGGCCCAGTAAGCCTTTTAGAATTAGGGTACCTGATTTTGGGAATGCCACCTTACGAGGGAACCTAGAACCCAAAAAAAGGGCAAAAGGGTACATTTGGTCTACCTAGTTGTTAATACCCTAAACCCTAAACCCTAAACCCTAAACCCTAAACCCTACACCCTAAACCCTAAACCCTAAACTCACATTCAATTAAGTGGGGGTGGGTGCAAGGTGGGTTCGCCTGGTCCCACTTGGGTCCTAAACCCTAAGCCCTAACCCAAAAACCCTAAACCCAAAGAACAAAGCCCAAAACCCTGACCCCAAACCCTAAACCCTAAACCCTAAACCCTAGACCTAAACCCTAAACCCTAAACCCTAAGCCCTACACCCTAAACCCTAAACCCTAAACCCTAAACCCTAAACCCTGAACCCAACCCCGGACATCGGAGCCTTTCTGTTGAGCTACAGGATATGGCGAGTTCTCTGAATCATGGCCACCCTAAACCCTAAACCCTAAACCCTGAACCCTGAACCCTGAACCCTGAACCCTGAACCCTGAACCCTGAACCCTAACTCTAAACCCTAAACCCCAAACCCTATTCATTTGTCAGCTCTTCGACATAAAAGCACGGTTCTCCCTTTGTTGGGAGCTTGGGGCGTTAGCTCTGCTAAATGAGCGGGTGCCGTAACCTCGAGGGGTGTGTGGAGTAGGGCCGAGTAGGGGGATCCTGTGAGAGTTTAGGGTTTAGGGCTTAGGGTTTAGGATTTAGGGTTTAGGGCAATCCCTGAACCCTGCAAAGTCTTTAAAGTCCCCAGAATGCCTGGAAGTAACAATCCCTTCAATGACTAGAACACCTAGCTTCAAACCTAGCACCCTGAAACGCCCCAATTTGGAAGGTTCCCCCTTATACTAACAGCCCTTCATAGGGATCATGGTAGGAGGGGGTACTATCCCTAGTAAGGACTGTTAGTATCAGCGGGAGCATCCCAAACCCCAATCGTGTTGGGGTTGAGGGCTTGGGCTCCTGCCTAGGCTTCTGGTTGCCGTTGTGGTCGCGGTCTTCTCGGAGATCGTCTGCCCCGCAGGCCCCGCACCCTAAACCCTAAACCCTAAACCCTGAACCCTGAACCCTAAACCCTGAACCCTGAACCCTGAACCCTGAACCCTGAACCCTGGACCCTGGACCCTGGACCCTGGACCCTGAACCCTGAACCCTGAACCCTAACCCTAAACTGCTGCGTCAGACCAGGTAGTCAGGATCTTGAGCCTGGGATCCCACGGGATTTTGCCTTGGGACCTCTGAGGTTGGCTTTAGGGTTATTTTGGATGTATGGTTTAGGGCTTAGGGTCGTTAAACCTTAGTAGCTGAGTGAGTACACTTCGCACTTTTTGGGATACTAGAATCCCCTCTAGAAGTGAAAGTGCCCACTTTTTGGGGGGCTTATGAACTCAGCAACTAAGAAACGATCCTCTAAGGCAAGATAAGGGCCAGACTGGGAGCATAACAAGGGAACCTCTTAGGGGTACGTCCTTAGGGGTCCGAGTATGACTCCCTTGAGATTCAGGGCTGGGGGGGTTTCCGGTAAGTCTGAACCTCCAAACCTCTAACCAAAACCCTAAACCCTAAACCCTAAACCCTAAACCCTAAACCCTAAACCCTAAACCTAAACCCTAAACTCTAACCCCTTTGAATTTGAGTCCACCTCAGACCCTCGAACCCTGAAGCCCAACGAACCCCATGAAACCTCTCAACCCTAAAACATAAACCTCTCAACCTCTCAACCTCTCAACCTCTCAACGTCTCAACCTCTCAACCTCTCAACCTCTCAACCTCTCAACCTCTCAACCTCTCAACCCTAAACCCTAAACCCTAAACCCTAAACCTAAGCCCTAAACCCTAAACCCCAAACCCCAAACCCCAAGCCAGGCTACGCATGTATACTGTCTAGCGCCCTCGCCGTGGGGCTTGCGGCTATTCCGGGCGCCCAGGCCCGGGGGCAGCCGGGAACACCAGAACGTTTAGGGTTTAGGGTTTAGGGTTTAGGGTTTAGGGTTTAGGGTTTAGGGTTTAGGGTTTAGGGTTTAGGGTTTAGGGTTTAGGGTTTAGGGTTTAGGGTTTAGGGTTTAGGGTTTAGGGTTTAGGGTTTAGGGTTTAGCCCTTATAAACCCCACTGTAGACATGAGGCACTAAAGCGCTCAAAGCACCACCTGAATGCCCCAAAAAACGCTAAACCCTGGAAATTAGATCCCATTCAAAGATTCTTGGACCCTTCAAACCCTACGCAAGTGCAATTTCTACAAGCCCTAAAGCCGCAAACCCAACCCGAACAAGGCTCCAGCCCCCTAGCCAAACACCCCCCTTGCTCTATGAATATGAACGCAGGGTGGGGGGGTAAGCTTTCACGATGCCTGGTGAAGCTCTTCCTTTGTATGAAGTTGTCTTTCGCAAGTTCTCTCCGGAGTCGCACTCGAAAGCCCAGAGAGGCCCCAACAGGCCCCCAGGTCCCAAACCCTGAAACAGCCACCAGAGGCCCCAGAATAAGGCCCCGAGACCCTATACTAGTTTTTGTTTCAAGCCCGAACCCTTAAATCTTTCACCCCAATCCTAAGCCCGCGCGACAGAATAGTTAAAGCCCTCTAAACCCTAAAGCTAAACTTCAGCATCTAAAAAACCCTAAGCCTGAGCCTGACAACCGTGAAGCCCAAAGCCCTAAGACCCTCAACCCTCCAATCCATCACCTTACTGGAGCCCAAACCCCCCCAGCACTAAAACCCTATAACCGAAAATCCTATCAGAGTAAGGAGAAAAACCTGAGCCCCATAACCCTAGGCCCTGAACTCCTACAACGCTAAACCGCGCTGGTAGTTGATCGAAATCCCTGTTCCCCGAAAAACCCAATCTCCCCTTATAAACCCACAGTAGCCCTAAACCCTAAACCCTAAACCCTAAACCCTAAACCCTAAACCCTAAACCCTAAACGACCTTCAGATCAAGCCCCAGCTGTCAGAGGAGCGGTTCCCTGCTGGGGAGGCACTGGGCTGGCCCTTGCCGATGCCTCATGGGGTTTAGGGTTTAGGGTTTAGGGTTTAGGGTTTAGGGTTTAGGGTTTAGGGTTTAGGGTTTAGGGTTTAGGGTTTAGGGTTTAGGGTTTACGTGGGGATAGGGTTTTGGACTTGGGGTTCAAGGGAGGTTTAAGTTTAGGGTTTGGGCTTGTACAGGGCTAGGAGTTTAGGGTTTAGCGCTTGAGGTTTACAGTTTAGGGTTTAGGGCTGTGGTTTAGGGAGGGCGCGGGGTTGGGCTTAGGAATGTTTAGGGTTTGGGGTTTAGGGCTTAGTGCTTGGGGCTCAGCGGTTTCACATAAACCACACACACACAAAGACACCGACACAGAGCCAGCCTGCGAACTGCTTCAGGCCCGGAAATCTTGAGGCCCGATGAGGTTCTCAGGACCTTAACTGCCCCGCCCAAACCCTAAACCCTAAACCCTAAACCCTAAACCCTAAACCCTAAACCCTAAACCCTAAACCCTAAACCCAGGGTTTGGGGAGGCATCCCAAGATGCTCCCAGAAGCTGCTCCTGCTCCTGCTCCAAAAGCCCGGTTTAGGGTTTAGGGAGTTTAAGGAGTTTAGGGTTTAGGGTTTAGGGTTTAGGGTTTAGGGTTTAGGGTTTAGGGTTTAGGGTTTAGGGTTTAGGGTTTAGGGTTCCGCTTCCAACCAGATTTGCCTTCAGGGCTTAGGGTTTAGGGCTTAGAGTTTAGGGTGTATTGGTGTTATGCGCGGGGGCAAGGAGGGGAACTTGACAGTGTGTTCCATAAGCCCTAAACTGTAAACTCTAAACCCTCGGGGGAAGGAGGAGAGGCAAGACACACAGGAGCGACGCGGCACGGAGACTGTCAGTTGGGTTTAGGTTAGGGTTTAGGGTTTAGGGTTTAGGGTTTAGGGTTTAGGGTTTAGGGTTTAGGGTTTAGGGTTTAGGGTTTAGGGTTTAGGGTTTAGGGTTTAGGGTTTAGGGCTCAGGGGATCCTAACTCCTCAGCCCTCTGAACCCCGAACTCTGCACTGAGGTTGTACATTTACTTCGCCTCTGCCGGCATCTTCTCCGAACTTCAGGACATAACCCTAAACCCTAAACCCTAAACCCTAAACCCTAAACCCTAAACCCTAAACCCTAAACCCTACTTAGTAGCTGAGTGAGCTCACTTTACACTTTTTGGGATACTATAATCCTTTATAGAACTGAACGTGTACACTTTTTGGGGGGGCTTATGAACTCAGCAACTATATAAGCCTAAACCCCAAACCCCAAACCCCCGGCCCTACACCCCTAAACCCTATACCCTTAGGGTTTAACGGCGTGGGGTACCCGAAGCCTACTCAGGGAGCCTGAAAGTTCAGATTTTGTTTTTTGATCTCCGGGACGCGGTACACAATTAGCATTTTTGGGGCTTCCGTTTTCCCCAAGCACAGTATGGGCTAAGCCCTGAAGACCCGATTCCTTAAACCTTCAACCCTGTATGCCCTATATGCCCTAAATTCCCGAAAGAACCGACATGACAAGGGACGAAAGGAGGGACCCCTACAAGGCTTTTGTTTTTTTCTTTGGGGGGGGGGGGGGGGGGGGGGGCCGGGGGCTGCTTCAAGTGCACATGATGGCACCCTGCAAAGCCTAAAAAATGGGACCACTTGGAGGTTCATGGTACTTCTTAACTGTACTTATAACCCAGTTATAAGCCCTGAAGTACCCTAACATGGTTATAAGTACAGTTATAAGTAGTTCTAAGTACAGTTATCACTGGTTAATAACCCTAAACCCTAAACCCTAAACCCTAAACCCTAAACCCTAAACCCTAAACCCTAAACCCTAAACCCCAATGAATAAGAACCATGAACCTCCAAGCAGGCCTTGGGATCTTATGCTGGCAGTCCTTCATAGGGCTTAGGACAGGGGGAACCCCTAAACCCTAAACCCCAAACCCCAAACCCCAAACCCTAAACCCTAAACCCTAAACCCAAACCCTAAACCCTAAACCCTAAATCCCCATAAGGACTGTCAGTATAAAGGGGACAATCCCAAAGTAGGTCCTTATTCTCTTTTTTTTTAGGGTAAAGGTTCTCTTATAAGCCCCTTTAATCCACAAGCGGCACCCTTTGGATTCCCAGGCTAATTATGGGTCTAGTAAACCCTAAGCCCCAAGCGGTTACTGCAGATGTCGGTACAGGGGCTTCTGGCGTGTTGCCTGGAACGTCAACCACATCATTCGGGTTTTAGGGTTTATTTAGGGTTAGGGTTCAGGTGTAAGGGTGTCCTAAACCCTAAACCCTAAACCCTAAACCCTCAACCCTCAACCCTCAACCCTAAACCCTCAACCCTAAACCCTAAACCCTAAAGCGAGCATTGGCAAGCCCTGCAAGCCCTCGGTGTTCGAGCAGCTGAGGCTTTACAGTGGGAGCGGTGGAATTCCCGACGCTCCTGAAGTTCAGCCCTCTAATTGATTTCGGCAGCCGGCCAGAACGGTGGTCTTGCTTCGATTCTCCACTATAGGGCTGAAGGGGGATGTTTGGGTGGTTAGGCTTTAGCCCTAAGCCCTAAACCCTAAACCCTCGGTTTCGGGAAGGGTCGGGGCGGGGGGGGGTCGGGGGGGAGGGGGGGGTTGAGAGCGTTTCAGTAAGCAGAACGTACAATCACCCCTGAGAGAGCGGCCTTGTCATCAGCCCCAATTACCTTCATACTGAACCCTAAACCTTAAACCCTAAGCCCTAAACCCTGCAAAATTTTTGATTTACTTAACCCCCCCCCCCCCCCAGAGGCCCTTGTTACGGCCAAGAGTGGACCAGAAAGAGTCTTGGCAACACGATCCTTAATCGGGCTGTGTAGGACTCGGAGCATGGTGAACCGGATCGGTGCGATGTGTGCTCGGGTGTATGATGGTGCCTGTCTTCCTTCGTTAACACAGAACGAGGTTCTTCAAGCGCGTGGCTCCCTGACGGTTGCTTGCTTACATATTGCGTTATCTGCAGCGCGTGTTGCCGTCGGCTTGGTGTCCTCGCATTGATTGTTTTCATATGTTGGTAGGCCAAGAACACTCGTGGTGCCATCGAGTGACGGGTGGCTTAGCTGGCTGCGCTGTTTTACTTTCTGGCATTGATGTTTAGATGGCGGGGACCATCTTGGGGAGGTGAATGTGTGGTGTTCCATGTTTCTACTTGCCCAGCGGCGAACACTGGCGGAATATATCTGCAGAACTGGGGGAGGGGGGGGGGGCCAGGCGGCTCCCCCCCCCCCCCCCCCCCCCCCGCGACTTACTGAAGACTTTTGCAGCCAAAATGAGAGTGTCCACCCATGCTAGGTTGTGAGCACGAGGGTTGTCGTGGACGCGGCATTTTTGTGACGTTGAATTCGTGCTGCTGTTGTCGTGGTTTCAGGTCGCGCACGCATGCTGGTTGGGGCTCCGCTGCCGCAAGGCTCGCGAGTCAGTTGCGATTCCATGATTTCCTGATTTCTTGCACACGTTGCACGTTGCATGTAGTCGGAGGCCCCAATATCTGTGCTGCGACGCTTGCTGAAGCTTTTTCAAGCGTGGCACGAGTCGAGTGAAGCCCTTATACGCTTCAAGTCTGCCCGATTTGGTGGGTTGCGTACCCGTGGTTCAGGCTCGGCGCCGCTTCGTCCTGTGCCACAGTAAGGTGTTTCTCTCAGATCTGTTGCGGAGACCATGACTGGAGTGGCATATGTTCTCTGTCGTCTTGTTCTGGGAGCCCGAAGAGTTCTTGGCGTACCTCAGTCGCACAGTGCATAGTGCTGCGATGCAGCTTGGCGGAGTTGGGGAAATGACCATGTTTGTCATTGATGGCTTTGAAAAAGCTGTGTCAACACAGGCGCAGTGCTGACACCGAGGAACAACACAAGGCCGGCTGAAACGTAGTTGACATTGTTGTTTGGAGTGGGAATTGAGCGTTGCTAGGTATGCCGCACAGCGACGCGGCTGTGGTTCATGTCTCGGAAGGACATGGAATGCAGCTGTGTAGGTGTTTAGGTGCGCGCACATGTGGCCCGGTGTGCGTGTGCCTTGCGTCAAAGCTGGTCTCTAGATTTAGTTCTTGTGGGACGGTGGACAAGCGAAGTCTTGGCCTGCAGGAGACAGAAGCAAGAAATGTGCTGGCGTGGTTGTGTTCGTGCCTTTTGACTTACGACGCATTTTTTATTCGCTTGTCGTTACTGGCGTCGGTAGTTTCGTCAGGCTGGTTCGTTGCAGTGCGACTTGCATATGCATCTAGTGCTTTGAGAAGCGAAACTGTATCTTATTTCTATGTCTTGCGTGGCCTGGACATTTACGCGTGCTGTCGCTTCATCTTCAACTCATTTGTTTCAGATGCGACCTCAGAAGTTCGACCGGTGTTCCAGAGTCGTTGTTGCGGTCTCAGTTCCGTTTTCGAGTAGGTTGGTTGGGCTGTGGGGGCTGGGTGATGCTCTTCAGAATTTCTAGAGTTGCATGAATTGCGAAAAGGCTGCGCTCCGTTCCAGAGCTGCCGCCGCCAGGCCTAGAGGCTTCCGCGCGCCTATTTGCTCTTGTGCGCGCGTCTTTCTTTCTATCTAGGCGGACATTGTGGGTCTTGGGCATGCTGCAACACCGCTTTGGTTCCTTGGGCGTGACGCAGGTGCCGTCCGACTGCTATGCAGAAGAGACGACCGTGGAGTGCTTGCGTGTGTTAGAGTCCTCTCTTGGCTCTTTCTGCTTCATGCATGGCCACGGACAGTCGGACGGAGGCACACGCAAATAGTGACAGTCAAACTTTAGTCCAGTTGCTCTCGACCCACTTTGCTCGTACCGGATTTGCGTGCCTCAATTGTTCAAAACCGGCTCTCACTGATATTCGCATTGTCATGGCAGAGCAAAAGGCCCAAAGAGATTCCCCAGAAAGCCCCAGCAGGAGGCCCCAAAAGGCGCCAGAAGGCCCAAAAGCCCACCAGAAACAATAAGGTGGTTCCAAGGAACTCGAGGCTCCAAAAAGCCCCAAAAGGCCTCAGGAGGCCCCAAAAAGGCCACAGGGCCCAAAAAGCCCAAGGCTCCAAAGGCACCCAGGAGGCCGCTGCAGGAAGCCCCAAAAAGCATCAGGAGGCCCCAACAGGCCCCAAAAGGCCACCAGAAACCAAAGAGTGGCTCCCAAAAAAAAACTCGGTCAAAACTTCCGGCCAAAACGTGTCGGTCAAACCGTTTCGGTCAAAACTTTCGGTCAACACGTTGTTGGGACCCAAAACCTATACAGTTTCTCTAAACCCAAAACCCTAAACCCTGAACCCTAAACCCTAAACCTAAACCCGAAACCCTAAACCCTAAACCCAAAACCGTTTCACCTAAACCCTAAACCCTGAACCCTACACCCTAAACCCTAAACCCTAAACCCTAAACCCTAAACCCTAAACCCTAAACCCTAAACCCTAAACCCTAAACCCTAAACCCTAAACCCTAAACCCTAAACCCTAAACCCTAAACCCTAAACCCTTACCCTGAACCCTAAACCTCCACAAGCAGCCACTAGAGGCACCCCAAACCTCCCACAGTCGCCCCCACAAAGCAAAAACCGAAGCCCGGCCAAAACAGCCCACGCCTTTCCACCCACACCAGCCCAAAACGTTCGCCCAAAAACTCCTGACATGAACACTGTCCCATGTCTATAGACCCTAAGCTTTACACCCTAAACCTTAACACCAACCCTATACACCCCAAGCCCCCTAAACCCTAAACCCTAAACCTTAAACCCTAAACCCTAAACCCTAAACCCTAAACCCTAAACCCTAAACCCTACAATGCACGCTAGAGTCGGGACTCTTTCGGCTTTCAGGTTGAGAGGTCTCAGGATCGGTGTAAACTTCTCAACCCCTTAAGCCCTCCGCCAAACTTCAAGCCTTAACCCTTACTTACACCCTAAATCCTATGTAAGCCCTAAACCCGAAACCCTAAACCCTAAACCCTAAACCCTAAACCCTAAACCCCACCAAGGCATTGCCCTCTACGGTCTCCACCTTTGTGCCCTTTTGGGCGCGGGCCGCCTTTTGGGGCTAAGCCGTCCAGAGCTGCTGGCACTCCAGGGGAGGGGGGGGGGGGGCCAGGGTTTAGGGTCTAGGGTCTAGGGTCTAGGGTTTAGGGTTTAGGGTTTAGGGTTGAAGTTTTAGGCGTATGGTTTCTGGAAAAGGGTGGTGTGCGAAATTCGGGTTTGACCGGCTTCTTGCTGAACACACTGGGCTTTTGGGAGGCCTTTTTTGAGGGGGCGAACTTGGGTTTGTCTGGTGCTTGTTTCGTGGACACCTTCGTTGGGTCGGTCTTTTCAGGGTTTAGGGTTTAGGGTTTGGTTTTGGTGCCGCTTTGCTATTGGAGCCTCCTCTCTGCTTTTTTTGGACACGGGCGGGGTTTGGAGCGCCTTTTCGGGGTGACTTGGGGTTACTTTCGTTGCCTCTTAATGCAACATGTTTGGGGACCTTTCTGACATACTCAGAACTGGTTTCCCGGTGCCAGGGCATCAGTTAAACAAGAAGAAGGGCAAAAGAGGAACAGGATCGACGCAGATTACGCCTCGGGCTTCAGGGTTCTGGGGGTCTCAGGGAATATCAGGCTTTAAAGTTTGGGGTTTGGGAGCTTGGTTCAGGGTTTGTGGCAGGAGAAGAATCTGATTCCATTGAGCCAAACCCTACAAACCCCTAAGTATCTACTACTGTTTGCTTGTAAGAACCCCCCCGCCCAAAAAAAGAAAGAAAAGAAAGAATACAAGATAACAACCCCTATATTTCCCGGTCCCTATAAGGAAGAATGCTTGTTTTTTTTTGGGGGTGGTGGGGGGGGGGGTTGTGAAGTATCTTAAGCAAATTGCAGTCTATGATATATAACTCAAGTCCAAAAACCTAAAGACCCCAGAGAATACTTGGAGGTTCATGGGACGTAAGAACCACTTAGAATTGGGCTTATAACCCTACTTATAATAGGGAGAACCCCTATAAGGCCCTTTAGGGGTCTTATAAGTGGGGGTATAAGTACAGTTATAATTGGTTCGTAAGTAAGTACCATGAACCTCCAAGTACCTCCCTAAGAGCAGCAGAACCTGAAGATGGACTCTCGAAATCCTACATAAACCCTGAACTCTAAACCCTAAACCCTTTAGGGTTTAGGGTTTAGGGTTTAGGGTTTAGGGTTTAGGGTTTAGGGTTTAGGGTTTAGGGTTTAGGGTTTTTCAACCCCTAAACCCAAAACCCCAAAACCCCCAACCCTCAAGACAAAATAAATAGAAATTGTGTGTGGTATCATTCTGAATTTTCCAAGTTATTGGTCTAAACAGCTGACAAGCTGAGTTTAAGCGTGGTAATCCAACCTTTGGGAGGCCAGCTTCTCAATTTACCGAAACCCCGTTTTTCAGCTGCGCCTCCGTGCCCCCAACCTAAACCCAAAACCCTAAACCCTAAACCCTAAACCCTAAACCCTAAACCCTAAACCCTAACCATGCTCAACCT